GAACGTAGAAGCTGGAGCCTACATTCAGGGCTGTGGCTGTTGGATCCGGTATCCCGTTCCTTTCTAAAATGTACTGTTAAAACTTGTTTTTACTAACATACGTTCCGTTTCAGAGGCAGTTTGTAGATAGTGTTCCGCTCCAAAATACTCAAGTAGTTCCTGAGTTATTACTTCGTTATTCCTGACTCGGTTCAGAGTAAAAGCTCAGGAGGGGCAGCTCTGTCGGTGGGTCACACGCACTGGCCTGGCAAACTGGTGCCTAAACTGTGACCCCAGTTCTGCAATGACTCGGTTCTCCAGTTGCCTTTTTTAAACGTCCCAGTTCTTCTAGAATGTTCTGCATGGGAAGAACCAAATCTGTTGCACACATGGACCGATCTTAATAATATTTTTTTTGTTGTTTCTTTAAAGCATAATGCCCAAACTGAATAGGAAACTGAAGTGAGGATTAAGTTCAGTTGTCTTTAGTGCTGTAGGCTCCTTCAAAGGGAAAACGTCTGCTTCCTCTTAGCTTTTTGGGTGACAGAAATTCCTTTGAGCAGATGCCATTGTCTTCTCCTTCCTCCCAGCTGCTGTAAGAGGCTTTGTCCTGCTATTTTTAAAATCCTTAATAGTTGTTTTGTTTTCAGTGAGGTCTTTCAAGTGCAGAAGTCACTTAGCTGCTTGGAGGTCTGGCAGCAGCAGTGACCTTCGGGTTTTGTGACTGGAGAACTTGAGTCTTCTGGCTACAGGAAAACAGGCTCCTCTATTCCTGCTTGCCTCCGAGCAGAGAGCAGGGGCTGTAGGAGGGAAGGGGAGAAGGCCTTGTCCCCCAGGAGCAGGAAACGTGAGGTTCATAGATCTGTGGGGGTGTGCTGCTGGTTTTCTGATGGCCGTATGTCTGTGTTCTTCCAGGTTTTGAGATCACTATTGACCACCCCCATACCCACGTGGTGAAGTGCACGCAGCTAGTGCGAGGTAAGCGATGGCAGATGTCGGGTGCTCGTGGTTTTTCCTCTGGGTAACCTCAGCTCGATAGAGGAGAGCTGTGAAGTGTGTACTCGTAGTGCTCAGTCGGAGCTGCCCGAGAGCTCGCCTGCAGTCAGTCTCCTTAATAACTGTAACGAGCAGTGAAGGAGAGGCAGCTGCAAAGGACTGACGTGGTGTCGTGGCTCTCCTGAGCCACGCAAAGCTCTCTACGTGCAGTAATTCCTAAAATCCTGTGGCATAGAGTTACTTGGAGTGTGCTGGGTGTCTCTGTGGTGGCGACAGGCCTGTGGTCCTTGTGCTAAAACGTGGTAACGCTTGTCAGGATGCACAGACTAACGCCCCGCTTTTTCCTTTTCTTTCAGCCAGCAAGGACTTGGCGCAAACTTCCTATTTCATGGCTACCAACAGGTTATTATTTTACAATTGATTCATATTTGACAGAGGGTCTTATCTGGAGGAGATGTGCTACTGGTGACCCTGGGGCATTGGTCAGCCTGTGAGCACCTGGGGATCGCTCGGTTTGGTTCAGAAAGAGCAGGAAGCCTTTCTCCTGCCAGCTGCTGGTCAAAACCAGCTGCAAAATCAGCCATACAAGCGGGGCAGATGGGATGTTCGGGAACTTCACTGCTTTTTGTGGGGAGTTAGACAGTTGTGAAATTATTTTTTTTTTTTTTTTTTTTGGCGGGGGGAAAAAAAAAAATCCCGAACGGTAGACTTGAAACTAATGTATGTGTTTGTATTTGCTTAGTACCTGAGCGTTAAGAGTTTTCACTGCACTAGATGCTGTGCAAATTGTCAAAAAATACGGTCTGTGCCCCAGAGAAAGCTGATCTAGAGTGTAAAGGGAGAAAAAGGGTAGTTGGACGCAGTCGTGAGGTGTTACAAGAGAAAATGATAACCTTGTCTGGCCTCCGTGACTGGGCAGACAGTTCTGTAAGCAGTCTTGGAAAGGAAAAACATTCTCTTTTTTTTTTTTCCGCCTTGAGAGGTCTGGGTAGTTTTGTCACTAGATTTTCACTGCAAGGCTGATAACGGCCCTTTTGATGGGACTACCAGCTTCAGGCAGATCGTGGAGTTAACGTTCGGAACAGACCGAGTCAACGACACGGAAAATCTTGTGGTTTTGTGAGAGGACTGGGAGAAAAGATGTTTTAGGCGCTAGCACAGGGTGAAACTGTGGAGTCGGAGAACGCTTCCAAGCCATGTGGCCTTGGGCGAGTTGTTTTTCTCCCCTCTGCCTGTGAGAGGTGTTACCTGCTCCCCTCCACAGCGTGCTGGGAGAAGTGTTTGTTGAAGGTGCTGTCTAGCTCCAAAGGGCACTGTGTGGGTTTCCTGCATAAACTAGCGTGAAGGGAAGGTGGTGGTGGTAACGTGTGTGTAAATGCAGCCCTGAAACCTCTTTTCTCCCTGCAGCAATAATTGCAAACCCAAGGAATTATGAGTTAAGGTTATAATTGAAAGAAATCCAGGCAGAAAGGAAGAAATGCAGCCAGGCAGCCTCAGTTTTGCCTTAAAGTGATGCCATGAAATGCCTGATTAAGGTGCTTAAGTGATGAGCTGGATTTATCAGGCGCAGCTACAGATGGTTTTTTTTGTTTCCCTCTGGCATCATTGTGGGGCAGAGTTGAGGCTCTTTGCGCACCTTAATTTCACTTCTTACCTTGGCAGAGCGGATAAAGGCTCTGAATTCCCTGGGTTTGACTTCGTAAATACAGTGAAATGGCTTCAGACTTTCTGGCTGTTGACGCGTGTCTCTGTCCCCCCACACCGCGTGGATGGGATGATGTTTAATAACCCGAGCCTGGCGAAGAGATGCAGCTCGTGCCCGCCTGCGCGTAGCTGCGCGGTGGCGGCGTTTCCATCAGTCGCTCTTGGAAAGGGCCAGTTCCTGCGGGTGACAGCGGGCAAATCCTGCCCTCGACTTGCTCTCGGGGTCTCTAAGGTGTTCCTGCGGGTGGAGAGGAGGAAGCTGGCCCAGTCTGTCGGTTCTCCTGTTCTCAGTGCGGCCTAGACCTCCCCGCGCTGACGTCCGAGCTGTCACGTGGCAAATTAATTTCCTAATGAAAATGCTCGATAGGCGGCCAGGCTCGCTTTAGGCGCTCCTGAGTCACTCCAGTCTGTGGTGCTGTTTCACAGCTGAAGCTTCAGTGCTTGTCCTTAAAAACTCATTTAGGAAAGACCAGACCCTTCCTAAAAGCCACAGAGGGCCAGTTTGCTCCTTGAACGCCGTCCCAGGAGCTGCGCTTGGAAGCGTCTTGAGTTTCTTCTGAGCTTGAGCAGAGCCCCGCAGCGGAGGCGGCTGGAGCTGGGGGGGGACGGCCGCGTGTCCCGCTGCTCCCGCACAAGCCCTTGAGTTGACAGAGTTACCTGGACCCAAATCACCTGCGGCAAAACGGGGAAGGAACAAGCAAATCTGTGGAGTGGGATAGAGACGCCCGTAACAGTAGGGTTGTACTGGGGGAGGAACGGCAGGGACTTCCCCACCATGTCCACCTCTTGTGCAGCGTCTGTTCAGTGGGCGATTGTGAGTGCCGAAGTTCAAGCTTGGGAGTTCATGGCTTTTTGTTTCTCTCTCCCTGCTGGTGACGTCAGCCTGCACCTGACCACCTTCAGCCTGCAGTACACCCCTCCCGTTGTGGCCTGCGTCTGTATCCACCTGGCTTGTAAGTGGTCCAACTGGGAGATCCCAGTCTCCACAGACGGGAAGCACTGGTGGGAATACGTTGATGGCACTGTAACTCTGGAGCTCTTAAAGGCTCTTATATTATTTTGGCATCTCTGTTCCTGGGTCTGCCATTCAAACACGGCCACCGGCCAGTTCATGGACTCCAGGACTTCAGGTCTTGCCAAGGTTTCCAGTGCAGCAGCAGCTTTATGGTACAACAGAGATGGCAAAAGGCACACAGTGAGATGAGATTAAATGTGGTCTAGTGATACTAGTTGTCAGTATTTCCCCTCCTGGAGTAGCTCCATTCATCAGTAAGTAGGGGGTTGCCCTGATGGATCAGTGCCGCTCTGCCCACCTCTGACTCTCTTGCTTGGGTTTGTGTCTCCTCTGCAGAACTGACTCATGAATTCCTGCAGATCCTTGAGAAAACTCCCAACCGGCTTAAACGTATCCGGAACTGGCGGGTAAGAATCCGCTTCGGAGCGCGGGTGCTTGCAGGAGAACACGGGCTCTGATTTCTTCTGCGTGCACGAGGCTGTGTGGCGTCTCTGGTCTGACAATGCAGGACAGTGTCTGAAGGGCGCGCGTGTGTGTGTGTGGGGAGAATCTGAACACTCTGCGTCTGCAAAATGCTGCTGCTGCAGCACTGGAGTCCGCCTGCTCTGAGTTAACCCTGTAGAGACTCGGGTTTTTTCAACCCCGCTTGCCTTGTTGCACGAGGAGGGGTTGGGGCACGGTGGGTCTGGCTGTAGGGGAGGGCGTGCGCCGTGCCGGGTGAGCTGCTGGCCTCAAACCAGCTCTGGTGACAGCCTGGAGTAACTCACCCATCGCTGCTTTTCTTCCAGGCCTCTGAAGCAGCCAGGAAATCCAAGGCTGACAACCGCGGGGAAGATGAGAGCCTGTCGGAGCAGACGATCCTCAACATGATTTCTAGGAACAATAGTTCGGACATGAATATCGCTGGGTTAATGAGCATGTCGACGTCCTCGACCGCCGGAGCGGGGCCGTCTCTGCCCGCCGCGGCCGACTCGCCCAGCGACCAGGGCGCTGCGGATCTGTCCCAGCCTGACTACTGGCATCCTCCAGCCAAACTGGACACTGGTCCCAGCCACAGGACTAATGAAAGCTCGTCGGCTGCTGAGCATCCTTTGCAGCAAGATGGCGCTGGTTATCAGAAACAGAGCGGCAAGAACGCTCCCTCAGCCAAAGTGTCGCTCAAGGAATACCGGGCCAAGCACGCCGAGGAGCTGGCGGCCCAGAAGCGGCAGTTGGAGAACATGGAGGCCAACGTGCGGTCCCAGTACGCCTACGCCGCGCAGAATCTCCTGGTCCAGCAGCAGCGGGAGAGGGAGGTCCAGCAGGACAGCAACCCCTCTCCCATCATCCTGAAAATTCCCATCGGCGGCTCGGAGAACCCCGAGCGCCCTCCCGGCCCTGAGAAGAGTGACAAAGCCTCGGCCCTGAAGCTGAGGATCCCGGTGGCAGGTGGAGGTGGGGAGAGGCCGCTCCCCTCCAAGCAGGAGGAGATAAAAATGCGGATCAAGGTGCCGAGCGCCGCAGACAGGCACGGCTCCTCGGACGAGAGCGGTGGCAAGAACCGAGAGCACAAGGAGAAACACAAGGGCCACTCTTCTAACCACCACCACCACCACCACAACCACCACTCTCACAAACACTTGCACGCCCAGCTCGGCGCCGGCCCCAGCAGCCTGGTGAACAAGCGGCCGGGAGACTCTAAGCACAGCAGCCAGCCCAGCTCCGTGCCCCACAAGAGCTACGGCCCCCTCGCCTCTTCCCGCAAGCGGCCCCTGCCGGAGGAAGCGGCGGCGGCCGCGGCCCACGAGCACCCACCCAAAGTCGGCAAAGCCACCAAAGGCCCCGGCATGCCGTTTCCTTACCCCCACCTCCCCGGGGCAGCCCACCTCCCGGGGCACGGCTCGGATGCAGGCAACCTTCCCTTACCCCAGGCCAACAAAGCCCGGGGCACCCACGGCAAATCGGACAAGGGGCCCACGGGGGCCAACGGGCACAACGCCAACCAGGCCAGTGACTACCAGGATACGGTCAACATGCTGCACTCGCTGTTGAGCGCGCAGGGGATGCAGCCCACCCAACCCCCTGCCTTTGACTTCCACTCTTATGGCGAGCTCTTGAACCCCCGGGCTTCCACCAGCTCTAGAGCTGTCGCCAACACGGACAAGCCCCGACCGCCCCCCCTGCCCTCAGAACCGCCCCCCCCGCTCCCTCCTCTCCCCAAGTAAAACCCCTTTTTACTACTGAGTTTGTCCAGAGCCCGAGCCTAAACCACCTGGGCTGCCCCTGCAGGGGCTTGAAAGGGCTTGTTCGATCTCCACTGCCTCACGAAGAACTATTTTATTATAATATAACTTTTATTATTGATATTTAGAACGCGGAGTTGTTGAAGCTGTGAAAGGATAAGAAACCCTTTCTCTGTTCCTTGCTCCCTCCCCCATCAACTTCCAGTTAGTGGTGGGCTCTGTCCCTGCTAGAACTGAAGCCCCCTCTGGGGAACACGCATTGTGGGGGGGCTCTGGGGGTTATTTAAAATATGTCACAGAAAATTTAAGATGTTTTACAAATAATTTAAGCAGTAACTTATATCTTAGTGTTTTTGTTCATTTTAATTGTGTGGTGCTGCGGCGGGGAGGGGGGGACCTTGGTGAGGGTTTGGGGTGGCTTGGCAGGTGGTTCTGCTCGAGCTCTCGGTGACAGAAAGCGGGTTCAGGAGTTTTGGGGGGATGGAGGGGAGGATGCGGCGTGAGGGGAGGGCAGGGACCAGAGGCTGCTTGGGCTGGGGGCGGCGAGGGAATCCCAGCTGATGCGGGTCTGGTTCCCTCGCTCTAAAAGCTGCCCAGCTTTCGGGGTCCCGTCCCCATCCCATAGTGGGGCTTCAGGGGCGGGTGTCGGGGGCTGTCGGTGGCGTTTTGGGACGGCTGGTGTTGAGCGGCTGGGGGTGAGGTGATGGATTGAGGGCGCTTGGCCTAGGACCTGCCCCACATGGCAGCTTTTTTTGGGGGAGAGAGCACAGAGGAGCTGCTGCGCTGGCGGGGACGGGCGCTGCTGAGCAAGGGGCTTGTTCGTGGGGTCGGATTGTGCCCGAAGGCCTGAGCAGAGCAGCCCGGTGCTGGGCACGGGCAGAGCCGGGTTTGGGTGTGAAGTGTGTTGGCGGACGTGGTCCGTGGCGGTGCCAGGGTTGATCTGGAGGACAGCAGCGTGTCGCGTTCCCAGCTGGGACGTAGGACGAGGCCGTGCAGGACGGCTGCCTCCAAGTGTCCCCGTGCCCAGGGCGGCTCTTCCAGTGGCTCCCGTTTGTTCGCAGCCGGGCTGGAA